TTTTTTTTTTTTCGTAATAAATTGACGGCAAAAAAGTGCGTTTCGTTAGAGCAGGAACACTATTAAGATTGACATATTTCTTTATTTACTGTTTTAAAATACCATATGTGTATATATATATATAATCTTCATTTCTTTGTTCATTAATTATCATTTATGGTTTTGGTTGCATATTGAAAAAAACGCATGCTGTTTTTTAACTGATATTTCAGTTTGGATCTCTATAAGAATCTCCAATTGGATTGCATTTACAATGAGCAAGAAACATTATGCAACTTGCCAGTGAACAGAAAGCCCACCACTAAGAAATGGCAATTTTCAAATTGAAAATACTAACGTGTAGGTGCACGATTTCATAGTTGTGGAAACTGCCGTCGTTTTGTTGTAACATACGAACCAGGTATTTGAATCAATTGAACGAAGTAGCTGTTCGTGTCGTATTTATTATTGAAAAATGCCAGCACCGCCTCCACCTCTCTCAAGTTTGGCAGAGGCACCTATGTGTGAAAAAACCGAAGTCAGCGATGCAGACTCCCTGCCTCCTTGGGCAAAAATCACCCTCACATCAGCAGAGGCAGAAATTGAAAAGCTGATATCTAGAAATGAATTGAAAGACGCGGAGGTCACATATTTTTGTCAAGTGGAACCAATTTTGCAAGATGGACCACAGTGAGTTTCATTTTTTATTTACTTATTCATATAATGAATGAAATCTAACCTAAACCTGTACAATAATAACAACAATGTAACATTCAACAGATGCGGTTTAGTAGCTCTTGCTATGGCATCACAAGAATACACAAAGCCAGTTTCTGTGAGTCAACTCTTAGCCGAAGCTCGTGTAAGGGGTTTTACACAACATGGAGAAGTGTACAGTGTTGACTTCATGGGCACATTAGCTGCTGAATATTTGCCTGACCATAGACCGGATATCTTAGTAGATTTACAGCAATGCCCAGATACATTGACGCATGCTCTGGCTCATGGTGCAATGGTACTAATTCCATACGATTCTGATTTCAATCATGCTCCGTGCTTAAAAAGAGGCCATAAAGCTCATTGGGCACTACTTGTGGGTCTAATTTCATCTAGGTACGTCATCTCTTCTCTTATCACTTTTAGACTTTAATTCAGAATAAACATTCTATTAATACATTACGACACGTGTTTCAGACAAGGATATCACGTCTTAGCGCGTCATGGAAAATCACGTCACTTAGCTTGTTGGCCGTTGCGCGACTTAATCGAGAGCAATGGCAACTTGGAAGAGGAAGGAACAGCCAGACACGCTGGAGGATACGTGATACCAAAAGGAGGAGTTGGAGGTCAGAGAGGTTTGCGCGGTAGGGCATTGGCGTTGCACCCATACATATAAGATCATGTGTACAAGAATTGTAGGCAATTAATATCACAGCGAAAGACAGGAAAAAATTACTATTATAATATTACTGTATCCACGTATATGGTAAATATTCGAAAACATAACGTTTGCACAGCTGCTACGGAATTTAATTCGTAATGCTTTTAAATAACATGTGTTTCAACTCGCGATGCATTTTTTGATCAACATTCGACGGGGAATATTAAGATCCTCGAAAATTCTGCATTAGATGTAATCGATGGACGATAATATCATTCGTTGATATACACACGCAGTGTAAATAATGATTTATTATGTATGTTTAACTTTACATGCACCCGACCGCGCGCAACGTTTTGAAAAAATTCTTTCTTCCGTTGTTTCGATTGTATCGAGCTTTTCCTGTGGTGCGACACGTGCTAAGCGCAAACGCGGGGAAATAAAATGGGCATGTACACGTGCATGAGAAAGACAAACGCGCACGAGGAGAAAGAAAATGTCTATAAAGGATATCTGCATAAAATAAATATTTACATGTATTAGCTAGAATTTATTGGGATCGTAACACTAGCCGGAACAGAATAAAAAAAAGTCTAAGTATATTTATTTAGCGAAGAAATCGTAGGTTTTCGAACAATAATTATGGATCTTTGTTTTATGTTAACATTGTGAATAAAGACTAAATCTATCTATAGCAAGAGTCTCGCAATTGCATTTGAGGCAATACAACTTAATGTTCGTGTGTATCGGATTGTTGGGCGCATTGCTTTTAAGATGCGGAGTATATTACATTTGTTAGACTAGTCTTACGA